GTTCTAATGATTTTGGTCTTTCTTTAAAGAATATCATTTTGTTTAAAATTTCAACACATGCTATATTCAGACAGTGAGTGATTTTGCGGATTAAAACCTGAAAAGTACCAGTGAAGACCCCATGGGATTATAACTTGCACAGAAGAGATTAAGTAATTTTAAATTGTTTCAATATTGTTAGAATTCTTTGTTTTGAGATACGGAATAGCAAGAAAGACTGCATGGGTAGGTAGGTAATAAGAGGCGGAGGCAGGAGAGGCAGGAGTTAAAATGCACTCCGTGCCCCATTTAATAAAGTGTGTTATAGCCAGTGCCACAAATTTGATTTGAACAATTTCTATTTTTCCCAGCAAAGATGTTATTACAGGTCAATCATTTCCATAAGTGAGAACACATTTCTGGTGTATACTACACTGACAGATGGCTAGAAGACCTCTTTTTCATGATCCCAGGCTGGATAAAAAGGCAATTTACTATCTATAGGACTGTGGGTACACTGGTAATGGAAGAGAATCATTCTTATACAAATAACTCAGTGTTTGAATCTGAACTATCAAATGAATCTGAGCTATAGCCAAATCAATTTGATAAACCATCAGAATATGATTGTACTGGCTCCAGCCTGCAAAGGCAATGCATTAAATTTTCCCCACAGGAAACTGTTTCCCAAAGAAACAGCAATTGCTTGATTGCTTAAAAAAAACAACAACAAACAACAACCTTGAGTGAGTTCAGAATATCAGGTAGAAACTCAGATGGCTGCTGATATTCAAGGTCAAGACTCATAAGGGGGAAATGAGGATGCTGAGCTCCTCCTCTGAAACTTGATGAAGTTTGTCTGCATGCCCCTGGCTTTCTCGGCATCTATCTTTCTTTGCAATGGAACAGTGCAACCCTACACCCTCAGGTGTTCAGAGGCTCCCTATTCTTCACTCAACTAGAAATTTTGCCTTCAGGAAAGGTACTATCATCAGTTTGAATGTTTGGCCCTTAATTTTCTTAGAATTCCTTGCATATATCCATTGGGGAAAAAGGACTGAGCCAGTAAGGGAGGAAGATTCACCACAGTTGGCTTGTGGAGGAGATATTTAGGAGACTAAGCAAGACTTCCCAATTCCCAACATGGGTCCCAGAGCAGTGATTCTCAGAATGCTCTCTGGACCAGAAACAGCAGTTTCGCCAGGAAGATATTAGAGATACAAGTTCTTAGGCCTCAACCCTGACCTGCTGAATCAAAAATTCTAAACGTAGGGGCTGAGTGTCATGACTCATGCCAGTAATCCCAGTGCTTTGGGAAGCCGAGGCAGGAGAATCACTTGAGGCCAGGAGTTTGAGACCAGCCTTGGCAACCTAGTGAGACCCTGTCTCTACAACAACAACAAAAATGGCTAGGTGTGGTGGTGCTTGCTTGTAGTCGCAGCTACTCAGAAGGCTGACCCAGGAGGATCACTAGAGCTCAGGAGTTTCAGGCTGCTGTGAGCTATGATTGCACTGCTGCACTCCAGCCTTGGTGATTAAAAAAACAAACAAAACAACCCCCCGAAACCCACCCAACTCTGAAGATGCTGCTCTGGGGCAGCTGAGAACCACTCACAGCTGAGGTGGGTCATAGCTGAGTCTACTGTGGAATTGCCCACAGCTGACTTACTCCTCCACAGGCATTTGGCTCCTCCCCAGGGACAGCCTGCACCCAATGATTCTTGATATGGAGGACTTGCCCCTTACCTTAATTCAGTACAACTTTGAAGGACCATCTTAACTCCAGATCTCCACATGAGATCAGCTGAGCCTTTGGCTGCAAATGCGTTACCCTGATTCTGCTTGCATCAAGCATTCCCTGTACATTCTGAGAGCACCCTCTAGTAAACCTTCTGCACGCAGCTATGTCATAGGCTTTTTGCGTGTATGTGGGAGGGGCAACAGCAATCTGACCCAAGGCCCAGTCATGATCAGCATGATCTCTACCTACTGTGGTCTGAATGGCCTATGCATACGCCTACTCTCATCTCTTAACTCATCGCCTGAGGTGGGCTGGTCTACTGCACACCAGCACAAGCACCTTTCAGGCCAGGGTTTAGATGGTTTAGTGTGTCTGGTTGCAGAAGTGGGACGTGGAATAGGCCAGTTGTCTTCTTGCCTCTCAAGTCAGCAGAAGGAGAGGCTTGAAGAACATCTGTGGACTAACCTGAAGGCCCCAGAGAAAGGGTGGCTTGATGTTAAGGTGAAAGATGATCAGTTCTTTTGGCCCCAGGGGGAGGAGAGGAAATGAGTAATTGTAGGTGGGGCTTCCAGCCAGGATCCTGCACTGAGATGAAAATATGTGGGAATGTATTATCCCTCTCTACCTTTTTAAGTCATTGGGAGTGCTTCATAATTTTATGAATTTTCTGTAAATTTTATTTACTTAATTCTAGACAGATGTGTTCCTGTGGTAAGAAGGATAAAACAATGGGCCTATAACTTGAGGACCTTGCAGAATTGTTTCTGACGCTTTCACAGAGGCCCTCTTGCCTGCATTCACAGTGGGACTGGATGGGGGATTCAAGTTTTGTGTTTTCTGTTAAAAATTCTTAGGAGATACATTGTGCAGTGTCTTAACCTGGAACCTGCTTATGCGGCCTCGGGAGATGTCCTTCTGTGCCGTGTTTATGTATCACTGACTGGCGTTCTTAGACTGGGAGGTGGGTATTAATAGTTATTTTCCTGTATTTTAGCTCACAGCCAGTTGCAGGGGGCCTCAATGAATAACTTTTAGATGTTCAATTAAACCTACTTATGGCAACATGGTATGATGGGAACACATGGAATGTGAGGTAGAAGACCTAGTTTCTGGTCCAGGCTCTGCCCCTTCTAGTAGCAGTATGATTTTTAACAGGTCACTTCCATTCTCTGGTTCTGATTTCTTCAGCTGGATAATAAATGAGTTGGGGGATCTCATCCAACTTCATTGTTCTAGGGAGCAGACAGTAGGTTAAGATGCTATAGATTCAATATTGTACCTGGTACAGGTCACATATGGAAACACACCCATCACTGATATTCTGCCATGAACAGAAGATAGATGTGCCTACTTAGGAACATTCAAAACTCTTAGGGCTTTTTGCTAAGGGAAACTGACACGCTGCTATTGTGGGGAGTCAAAGACATCAAAAGTACTTTGTCAGAATTCATTTGTCTCCCAAGTACTGTAAGAACAGGGAACACGAACTAGGGAGTACAGGTTCTGAGTACTTCGTATACTTGAGTACATGGCCCACATGGCCAGCAGTCTCCATTTGTTAGCCCCGGGTCCTTCCTCGTCTTTTAGGCATATCATGACTTGATATTTTAAGTTGTATATTAACGTATTGCCTGACTCCCCTCTGTCCCCACCACCACTGAGAATATAAGCGTTCTATGAGGAAGAACTTTACTTTGTTCCCTGCACTTTGTATAACGCATGGCACAGGACTGATGCTTAAAAATTTGATGAGTGAAAAATATTTTTTTGTGTGTGTGTTTTATGCTTCAAATAATATTAGGAAATAGGTATTGTTTTTTTTAGCCATTTTTTAGGCAAGGAAACCGAGGCTTAGAGAGGTAAAAGAACTGGTCTAAACCAAGGCAGTGTGCTCTGTATCTCTGCTTTAATCACACCTTTGCTCCATTTGCACAGGTGGCCTATCTCTAGCCAGGCATTCTTGAATAGTCTTTGAACGTGGTCAGGATGACAAATCTACCCTGAAGTGTATATTTCTTTCATCAAAGCAGCAGAATCTCATGTAGAGATCACAACACACCCTTTATCATGAATAAAAAAATACTTATGGAATTCTCACTCCCATATCAGAGCTAATTCTAGAGGTACACAGGTTCTAGCCTGAAGGAGAACATTAGCTATTTGGTGAAAACAAGAGTGATGCAGATAGATGGTTGGTTGGTAGGTAGGTAGATAACCACACATGGTAGCCTATGCTAACTGCCAAATAAGAGGTTCAGTGGGTTGCTTCCAAATGCCTGACTTGACTTTAGGCAGGCTACGTAAGGATCACCTAGTAAAACTGTAGCTCTGTTAACATGCTTATCTGTTTCTTTGCTCCCCCTTCCTTCTTGTGCCTCATTCCCTCCTTTTGGGTTCCTTTGTTTGTCTTGACGTACTTTCTTCAGTAAGTGTAGTAGGTCTTGCTTAAAGCCCAGGAACACAGTTTAAAAAAGGCTTTTGGTAATTGCAATGCAGATTTTCCCCCGAACAAAGAAGCCATAAAGGCCACGAGAGTCACAGGAAGAAGTCACTGATGGCTGAGGTTGTCAAAGAGACTTGAGGAGGTAGAACTTCAGAATGATCCTTGATGGAAGGGGCAGTGTAGGTAAGAAGAGAAGAGGGGAAGTCACTTTTGGAGGGAAAGATGGAAGTAAGGAAATGACAAGAGGAGATGTCCTAATGAGGGCTATGAGGCATGGAATGTATCCCAAAAGATTTGAAAAGAGGATCCAAAAATATTGAGTATGTAGGTCTCATTGGGTTGAAGGAACCTCCTGGTGTTCATGATGATAGAGATTTATACTTTCCTTTCCAGGGAAGAGACATGTAGTCAAGTGGTTGTGAGTCTGTACCACCAGTCAGATCAGTTTAAATCCCTGCTGTAACTCTTGTATAACCTTGAGTGAGTGAATTAACCTCTCCAGGGAAGCCAGTTTTTCCTTCTGTAAAATGGGAATAATAGCTCCTACCACAAAGGGTGATTATAAGAATTAAATGAGAAAATGCATCTTAACTTCTTAGAACACCATCTGACACTCTGTACATGCTCATTACATGTTATTATTAGTGTTGCTTTTTTATGGAGAGTTAGACTGTGGATAAACTTTAAATTGTCTCTATAAATCTTTGCAGAGGACATGAATAAAAATGGAACTTGATGGCCAGCCCTGCCTTGGAAGTTCTCCCTCTGCTGCAGAGAGTTGACTTCTAACTTAAACAAACTGAGCTCTTACACACAGAAATGGGGAAAGCTACTCACAGAACGACTGGTCCAGAGGCTCCGTGGAAAACATCATTAGGCAATTCTTTTAAATTATTGTTATTGCTTAGATTCCTGGGGATGGGTTGAAGAAAGAGAAGGAAAACATAAAGCCACATAAATATTGCTGCTGTAAGAGCCATTTCCCTTTAAATGGGCTGGAAGAATAGTCGGGGCTACTTACAGCTCATCTAGTTGGGTTCCATTGAATGCACAGTTTTGTATTTCTTGAATCCCATTCTTATTCAGCCATCTGAAATAAAAGGCCTATTAAAAAACCAATAATGTCAGATGCAAACAATACAAGGGTTTCATAATTGGAAGCACTGAGCAAGGGCAGACAGCACAGGTTAGTGGAATAAAGAAAATGCCACCTTTAAAGCTTGGGGACATGGGTGGGAAGAAGACTGATTTATTTGAAGTTTGCATTATGTGCATGTATGGCCTATTCAAAGGAATAAATGAAAGTCAGGTTTGAAAAGGCACACTTAGGCAGAGCAGGCTGGATTATTTCACTGTAAGGTCTTTACACATGTCATCTGTGTGTAGAGATACAATGCGGGGAGCGGACAGATCTTCCTCATCCTGAAGGACAGGAATCCTACAATTATTGAACAAGTGTTTATAAGACAGAAAAAGAACATTCTATGTCACCTTTCTCTAAGGGCTTAAGCCTTTCACCCATGATCACCCACAGCAGCAGGCCTGGCTGTCATCAAAAGTGATCTAATTAAGTTGTCAGACAACCTGAACATCTCCTGTGACCCGTAGGAACCTGGTTATTGGAGGTTTGTGGAGGTGGCTCTGGGTTAAGCCAGAAAGGAAGAGAAATCAATTACAGAGAATGTGGGCTGTGGCAGGGCGAGGTGATGCGAATGGGCGGGGGAGGAGGTTCTCAGGGAGGTGGAGATGGGTATAGAACAGCTATCCTGATTGTACTAAGAAGGTCAGTGAGCAGGGTTCCCTGGACAGGGGAGCCCAAGGACACCTTGGGCTACAGCTCTGCATTGCTCTGCTCCTGAGTGGATCTGAGAACAAAAACAGATACCAAGGTCAGGAGGGCTTAGCCCGAAGAGCCTCTGACCACCTGCTCTTGTTTTGCTGTCAGGTTCTTTTCCCTTTTCCCAGCTTAGTGGGTTTGCAAATAACACTGTCAGAAAGCTGACCCAGAGAAGCTCTTGTGTGTCCAAGACTCTATTTCTTGGGCTGCCGTGGGTAGCCAGAAAACACTTTAAATCACAGGAGAACGACTGTATGTCTTTTTCCTCCTCTTGAAAACTAATTAGCTAAAAAATCCAGAAAGGAGCAGGGTAAATCTTTTAAGACATTCACAACCAACTGGTGGGTTCTGATGGCAATGGAGTGGCTATGCAACCCCATGCTGTTTGAGAAAGCATCTCCCAGGCACATCCGGACTCTTGACAGTTGCAATGTGGTAGGAATTGCTGGGGCAGTTGCCCCCAACCTGTGGGATGTAGATCCCTGGGGGATTTGGATCAAATACAGAATTCAGCAAGCTTTTTCTGTAAAGGACCTTATAGTAAAGTTTAGGTTTTATGGGCCAAAAGGCAGAAATTAAAAATATTATATAAGCACCTTAGGTACTTATAAAACAATTTCCACAATTTTTTTATTGACCAAATTTAAAGTGTAATAATTGAGTACTTCTTTTGTAATGTAGGCCTAATGTTATAAATAATTTTTTCTGGGGGATAACATTTTGCTTAATTTAGATCCAGTGTTAATGTTTCCTGTCTTAGCTCATGAGCTGGGTGTCACCTCTGGGTTATATGTAGTTGGCTGGCCTTTAATTTAACACGAGGGGTGTACAAATCCATACAGCCTCCACCTGTTTTCTTAGAGACTAGATAATTGATATTTCCTGCATATAACTCTCCTGTCAATCGATGTTGCTATAATCAAATAAAACATAAACTAATTTTAAATAATTATTGTATTCAAATATCCCTTTGGCTTTATGGATGATCTCAACAGATACCTTCATGTGGGGAGGAGGATGGCGTTTCTTGATATCAACAGTGGATCATCACACAAAAAACAAATTATGTTCAGAACTGCTCTCCTTGGTTTTATGCTAGCCTGTGGCAATCTCAGACTAGTACCACAGGGAAACCCACATTTGTCATGCACAACTCTGGTCTCTTAAGAGAGAAACTACCTATTTTAAAACCAGATGATGATGATGATGACGACGACAATGATGACGTTGAGGATGACTACAATAACTTGGGCAGAACATCAACTAAGGAATAACTGAATCACAGGCCTACCTTAACCCTTTTGTGTCTTTGGGGACGAGACCAGTGGCTCACTCAGCAGAGGCTCAGGAGGCTACAGAAGCACACCCTGCTCTCCTCCTAAAGAGTGGAGGTGCTGGACACTCGGCCCTTTAAAACTCATTGAGGGGCAGGCAGGGGAGATGAACTGACTGAGGAACAGAGGAAACACGCATGAAGCAGGCCTTTCCTGAGGCCAGAGTGTGCTGGAGCTGTTACTCATGTCATGTTTTATTTCTTCTGAGTTAGGATATTCTCCTGGCTGGCCATAGCTAGGTGCTTTTCCTATTCAGGCTCTCTGCTTACCAGGGCAGAGTGGCAGTGGGGCAGGGATCAGAAGATTCTGCGCAATGGGTTTTTATTATTCATTTCTTAGATTCACTAGGCAAGTGTCTGATAATCCTTCATTGCTGGCTACTTTAAAAATACGTTTATATTTACTTTTAGAACAGGGCCTCAGAATTTTTTTTAACTTTTAGTTTCAGGGGAGCATGTACAGGTTTTTTATATAGGTAGTCTGCATATCACGAGGGTTTGATGTATGGATAATTTCATCACCTGGGTAATAAGCATAGTACCCAATAGGTATTTTTTCTGATCCCCTCCCTCTTCCCTCATGTAGGCCCCCGTGTCTGTTGTTCCCGTCCTAAAATCCATGTGTTCTCGTTGTTTATCTCCCAATTATGAGAGAGCATGTGGTATCTGGTTTTCTGTTCCTGCGTTAGTTTGCTTAGAATACTGGCCTCCAGCTTTATCCATGTTGCTGCAAAGGGTGCGATCTTGTTCTTTTTTTATATCTGTGTGGTATTCCCAGAATTTTGAAAATTGCTATCGATAGAATACTTTTTCAGTCATCAGTGCCACTGCCATGCTTTTCTTCCTGAGTGTGCTCAAATGTCCCCAGGGGAAGAGAGCAACCCTGCATCAAAGCTGCCCGACTAGAAACGATTGGAGACTTAAACTGTGTTGAGTGTGAAGGATCTGATTTTATTGTCTATAGATTAAGGGACAACCACAATAAGAACAATATATATTGTTTCCACAAGTGGGAACTTATCCTTTAGAGACACGTCTGAGAAACATTCACTCTTAAAAGAAAACTCCTTTTCTGAAAAGTGTGTTCATAAATTCTGAGAAATCAATGTCCGTGAACAGGAGTTAGTAAAGAGCAGACAGAATCTGTATGCTCCTTTTGTAGCTTTGGGTTTGCAAAGGTATGTCAGAATTTCTTATTTCCTCAGGTTCTTTGGCTCTAGTTGGGGAGAGTTGAGACCAGGGCACTTAGAGTGCTTTGCCTTCTGTCTTATGGTCTGGACAAAACAAAACAAAACAAAACAAAAAACAGTCCATGATACTGTGAGAATGATATGAGCACACTATGCAAAACTATGAGAATGATATGAGCACACTCCCACTTAATTATATATTTTCTATAAAAATGAATGAGTTTGCCATATTATAACATTCATTTTATGTCTCTGTATTTAAAATAAACACATATTTCAGGCAAGATCCAAATAAACATAAGCATCCTGATATAACTGATTACATTTATCACTAATCTCCCACTAAAAGCCCAGAAATCCTTTTACTGTTGTGTTTTGCAACAGGACAATAAGACTCGTGTACTCACTGTTTCCCACAGCTCTTTGTGTTATTAGTTTTATTTTTATAAAAGGCAGGTGGCCTTCACAGCCTTGATTATTCTGTTTCCTTTGCCAACTCCCTAGCTAACTGCCCCTCATCTTTACAACCCATTGTAAAACCCGCCTTTTCTCAGCTTGCTCTCCCTCATTTAACCCTTCCTTTAACTCTGGCATCACAGGCTAGTCAGATTAAATCATTCATTCTTTACTCTCAGAATAATTGCTTTTCCTTTTCCTTTGTCTATCATTCATTCTGCTTGATTTTAGTTTATTCCTTTTGCTTTCTCTTTCTCTTCTTTTCTGTACTCCATCACCTCATCTCAACAAACACACATCCCTTCACTTCAAATTTCATGAGCTTAAGTGAAATGATTCAGCATTACTCACCTGTAGCTTTTGTCCTGATACCTATGTATTTTGAATGCATGCCTTTGATGTAATTTTATTGTTCCTTTCATACATTCTGTTTCTAAGCTAATCTGTTTTCAAACTTTTCCTGTTATTCTCTACATCAAATACAGTGCTTAGCTTTCCTGATCAAAGTGTCATAATCTGTCTACTATTTCTTTTTCTTTTAACTGCTGGGTCTCTGAATCATATAATTGAAGAGGGCTATAATTCTTTATGGACTGGAACTTACGTTTTGTACATATAGGCATATTTTAAAAACTCATATTGGTATACTTTTTAAAAAAACACAACAGTTTGTAAAATAGATAAAATGCTTTTCATATCTTACAGATGTAATTGCAGTTACTGGGTCCCCCAAATGTCATTCTGTGCATCTAAGTTTCATGGATCCCGGGCATACTTAGGTGGCTCATACTCTCCTATTTCTTGGCCATCCTGGTGAGTGGATAAACTGCTATAGGGCCTACTGGCATGAAAGATTAGAAGGTCTTTCATTAACAAGACAGAGTGCATTTAAAAACTTTCCCAAAAGTCAGAGAGAGTAACTCAAGCTCATTAAAAAACTTAATTGTTTTAAGAAAATGAGAAGTCATCTTATGCTCAGCATGGGCCCGAACAGGAGCTGCTTGGAATGGTTATGAGGGAATCACCCTATCTTCCTGATTGGGCTTCCTTCCTGATCGTTTTCTTTGGGCAACAAAAGCCTTGCCAGGCAATAACTAGCTTTATTGATGCATGAGTTATTCTGTCCTTTGGAACAGATGTTGTATCACAGGAGACCATCATTCAAACAGCAATTTTAAATAGTTGTATCATACCACAGAATCATAAATTATTGACATGACTCCACATTGTGATTCTGAAATGTAAAGACAAGAGGGAAAAAGAACCAGAGAGTGAAGTGGAGAAATGCCAAAGTTACCCGAATTAAAAAGGAGCACCCAATTATAAGAGACCACCAAATGAAAAAGCAAATGTTACTCTGTTGGATATTTTCCCCTTACTTACAGAGTCACACTTTCAAAACTCAGCCCCGCGAAAGAATTTCTTTCAACTGCGTGGATGTTTATGTTATCTTGAATGTCTCTAGAAGAAAGTACAGACAAACAGATATTTACATCAGCCCTACTCATGTAATCTTCCCATATTTAGTTTAACTGGCATAATGTGGTCTTTAGCTTAGGTAATGTATTAATGTAGTTAGTTGTTGTTTAGCTCAAAGTTTGGGGAAAAATTGTCTCTAATTTATATTCAGTATATTAATTCTTACAAATGGAATTGTAGATATTCAGTGTCCCCCTCCCCAACCCTTTTTTTTTTTGAGACCTGGTCTCTTGCTCTGTCACTTAGGCTGGAGTGCTGTGGTGCCATCACAACTCACTGTAGCCTCGACCTCCCAGGCTCAAGTGATCCTCCCACCTCAGCCTCTGGAATAGCTGGGACTACAGGTGTGCACCACCATGACCAGCTAAGTTTTGTATTTTTTGTAAAGTCAGGGTTTTACCCTGTCACTCAGGCTGGTCTCAAACACTTGTGCTTAAGCGATCCGCCTGCCTCAGCTTCTCAAAGTGCTGGATTGCAGCTGTTGGCCACTGTGTGTGACCCACTTTTTTCTTCTGAAGGTTTTCTTAAATAATTTTACCCTAATGTAACAAACCTTTCACCTCCTAACTTTTATGTTTGTCTTAATTGGGCCTTCTCCCCATCTCAAACTTCTTATAGATAGTTTCCTTCCCTCTGTTTTCCTTGGGTCTCAGAACAATTTTATTATTGATTTTTCTTTTCCTGAATGAAAGGATGGGAAGAGCCTCATTTTCTGTTTGTAGTACTCATTCCCCCATCAACCTTCCCACAGGTCTGATCTAACATGTAGAAGTAAATGTAGAAGTAAGGGCTATAGAAGTAATGTAGTAAACAGCTTGGAAAAATATGAGAAATTCTGAAAGATATTCAGTGTTTTTCTCTTTCTCTTTTCCAACCCTGCTTAGCTCCTTCCTCCCTCCTTAGCTCCTACACCCCTTCCCCATCTCTTCCTTTTGTGTCTGTCCATATTCTTACAATTTCACTGTCGGAAATAGTTGCCATTACATGCTACCTTTTGTCTTTCTTTTTTCAAAATACAAATACCTTGGGAAAAGGCAAACATAGCCTGTCATTAACTCTTTAATATGAATGTGTGTGTTAGATAGTTTCTTTATGCCCAGGGTAGCATAGAAATTCTGGAAAGAAGAGGAAAAGATGTTGGAATACAGAGGGTGTTGTGTATGTGTGTGTTGGGCAATAATTAAAGCACTAAATAGTGAAAAAATAAGCAACTTTTTGATTTTGCTATATGCTGGTTTTGTGAACAATGCTCTTATTGAGGGGTCTGTCAGTTTCCTCCAAACTAGTATTAATTGGCCTGCAGGTAAAATCAGGGACCTCACTCTGGCCTCCTTATTTTTGCTAACCCAGAGCAATGCATTTGGAGGATGTAGACTACACAATGCATATTAAAGGCCCACATGGCTGTTGGCCAAGACAGATACTGAGTAAAGAGCTGGTAGTTGCACAAGGAAGAACTTACAGTATAACCTTTTGGAGAGAATGAATCTTGTGAACATCTGGAAGGTGCTTAATACCTGTGTTGGATATTAACCTAGAGAGAAACAAAATGAGAATGAGTGAAAATGAGGCTGGCTGTTTAAACAGTTGTTAGAGCATGAATTTTCCAGGATCAAAATATCAATTTTGAACCATGAGAAAAACCTACCAGAAAAGCCCATGTATACCTGAATTATGCTCATGTTTTCTATTTTAAGGTTCATTCTACAGTCTTAAAAGCTGGTGATTCCTTAGAGAAAAGAAACTTAACAGTTCAGTCACAAAGGGATTAGGATGCCACAGTATACATTTAAAAAAAAATGAAGATTGATAAGTTAATCTGACCCTAAAGCAACTTCTAACTAGTAACAAAATTTTCTTAAATTATCCTGTGTTTCCAACCTCATCATATGTGTTGGAAAACTGTGCCTTCTTCGTTCCAAGTGATTCTCTTGGGATTAGAGTGTGAGATTTCATGCCCTATGACCCTAGAGTATGGATGTGACCTGAACTGGGCCAATCAGACTCTCTCCTGGGATGTGGTTGGAGGTTGGTTAGAGCTTCTGCTGTCATCACCCTTAAGAGATGATTATAAATTTCTACAGCTGAAAATCGCAGACCTACCCTGGATCCTTCCCAAGTTCTGGTTATATTGGCCTGACTTTCCCAGGAAGCAGAGCTTGAGATGGATAGCTGTGAGTATATATTTCATAGTAAAATTTCAGAGCAATCAGGACAGGGAGTGAAACAGGGAAGGAGGGAAGCTAAGCAATACGAGCACTACTGGTGACTAGTTCCTAATTCCAAGGACTTGATTTAGGATATTTAAAAAATGTTAATTGGAGTGGGGGATAGTAGGGAGGGAAGATTGTGTCCATTGACTCCTGTTTCCTATTGGTAAAAGCTGATTCCATGGTGTTAATTCCCCACTTATGGCTTGCACATTGTGAATACCCAGTGAGTTCCTGATGGGCATCTCTCACAGTGGTGCCCAAGAAGCCCCAGAGCAGGAAGGAAGAGGTGTACAAGGCTAGGCTGGGTGTTGTTCAGTTGCACTTGAATGAAGCTGGATGAAATTTGGGTGGAACTGGCTGCAATAATAATGGTGAGGGTTTTTCGAGGCACATAGAAATTATTGGACACATTGTTCTTTGTCATTTTCCTGACTCCTGTGAGTTACTTAAAATCCTACTATCTCGCTACTCCCATTTCCCTTTTCTATATGTGGCTTACGTAAGTTGGAGGTGGTGAGAGTTACATGCAATCTAAGGAAGCCTCATTGATATATTCATCATTGCAAAGGACCATATGTCCTTTTGAGGTTATGACTCAAGAAGATTTGGTGCCTTGTTCTCTGCTTCTGTATTTAGAGAGGAAGTGACTGTAGTCTCTAGGTTCTAGGTGATGGTTCTCAGAGTTTTTTTTTCCCTCCTCTTGGTTCCCTGATATCCACATCAAAGGTCTCTTGGGCAATTCTTTTAATTACTTCAACAGCCCTTGAGTTGATCTCCCTTTGCTTTTTATCCAGGAAAAGATGTTCTTTTTGAAGAATTAATTGTGTTGTTAATTCACTTAAAAATTATATACAGAAAAATAAACTCTTTTGAGTGTAGAGGTCTTTGAGGTAAAAGAAATACATATATAACCATGAGCACAGTACAGATAATGAACAGTGTCATCACTGTCTAAATTCACTCATGTTTTCCCTTTGTACTTCATCTCTTCATCTACTTCATATCCCTAGCAAGCACTGATCAGCTATCTGTTTCTATAATTTTGCCTTTTCCAAAATATTATGTCAATGGAACCATCTATGATCTTCCCCACTAGAGCTCAGAGATGCTCTTCACACCACACAGCCACTGCTAGGGCATGCTGGAGTGGTGGTCAGTGATTAAGGACTGTTTTTTCTATCTCTTCAGTGCCTCTTTCAGCAATATGAAGTTAAAACCAGGTACAGTGACTGCTCACCTAATTTTTGGTTCTCATAAAAGTGTTTTTTTTTCTGTGTAGATAGTTGTTAATTTGGGGTCTTTGCATGGGGGACAATTGGTGGAGCTTTCTATTCTATCATCTTGTTCTGTCTCTATCAGTGGAATGATCTAGAATGTTATTTTTGGGTCTGGCTTCTTTCACTTAGCCTAACTCCATATTTCTCTTGATTCATTCACAGCAAAGCTTCTAGAAGGAGTTGTCTGCACATGCTGTCTTTGTTTTCTCATATCCCATTGATCTTCAACCTGTTCCAATCTGTTTTCATCCCATAACTCTTTTTATTTATTTATTTATTTATTTATTTATTTATTTATTGAGATGGAGTTTTGCTCTTCTTCAGGCTGGAGTGCAATGGCGCAATCTCGGCTCACCGCAACCTCTGCCTCATGGGTTCAGGCAATTCTCCTGCCTTAGCCTCCTGAGTAGCTGGGATTACAGGCACACACCACCATGCCCAGCTAAATTTTTGCATTTTTAGTAGAGTCGGGGTTTCACAATGTTGACCAGGATGGTGTCGATCTCTTGACCTCGTGATCTGCCCGCCTTGGCCTCCCAAAGTGCTGGGATTACAGGCGTGAGCCACCGCGCTCGGCCCCCATCCCATAACTCTTAACTGATACTGTGATCATCATGCCAAAGTCTACAAACTCACTAACTACCAAACTCACTAACTACTACAAACACTTTAAACTGTAAACAGTCACCTTCTTAGACTTTTCTGGATTATTTAGTTTTTTTTTTTCCAAACTTTCTTTTCTGTTGGTTTCTGTCATTTTGCACTCTTTTGTTACTGCTCCTTCTCCTCTGTTACTGCTTCTTAGCATTCTTTGTTGATTCCTTTTCCCCTATTTGTACTCTGGGTCTTTTGCATCACTTCTCTATACTCTCACTACATAGATCTTGTTTCCTGTGATTTTAAGTAGTATCAATATTATTACTCCTCGATTCATACTTGCTCTCTGACCTCGCTAGCCTATTGCTAATTAAAGCTTATTTTGCGTAGCTTTCTGAATGTCTCACTGACGTAGCCAGCTAAACTTGTTCCCCCCATTATCATCTCCACCAAACTGCTTTTCCTCCATTATTCTCCATAGATAGAATTGCCATCCATCAATTGTAATTTGACAGTTAAAGCTGGCTTGGCTTCTTCTTTTTTAAGTTCTAATATATAGTCCATTTCAAAGTCTTCTTAGATTCCATTTCCAAAATATGTCTTGACTCTATGCAGTTTTGCCCATCTCCACTGAAACCATTCTAAAAAAAACCCTAGGAATTTCTGTAATATTATCCTCCTTTCTTTCCAAATTCATTCTCCATGCAGCACTCTGGGAATTCTTTTCAAAAATGTAAATCAGATTGCTTTACTCCTTTGCTGTTAAGGCTTTGGTTCATTCCCATAACAGTAAAATTGACACGCCTTACTGCCTCCTTTTGAACCTTTATCTTGTGCTATTTCGCCAGTGCACTTTATCCCCAGTGGCTTTCTCTCAGTTCCTCAGATATATTAATTTATTTTGTTTCTCCAGATATTTGCATGTACTTTCTCTAGAAGGCTAACCATCCACTCTTACCTGGCCAACTTCATCTCACCCTTCAGAGTTTATTTACACATGTCACTTTTTCAGAAAGGAGCTCCCTATATGCCAATCTCAATTAGGGCCCCTGATTTATTCTCAGTATAACTGCGTCCTTTTTAGCACTCCTCAAAACTCTGAGCCATATATTGTTTTGTGTTATTTATCCAACATCTGCCTCTTCAACCAGAATATGACTCATATGAGGCAGGATTCATGTTTTTCCTGAAAACTCAGTACAGTAGTTGACACATATAATGGGCTCAGTGTTTACCAAGCTCTTTATTCCAGGTAATATGCTATGTGCTATCAAGAGATGAGTTCACAAGGAATTATTCACTGCCATGTTTATTACACCTTATTCATTTGACATTATATGGGTAGCAGTTTCCCCATCTCTCTTAGTAAATGAGTAAGTTTTATATAATTGAAGGAATGAAGAATTCATGATTGCACAATAAGAAAGTTACAAATGCGAGAGGACTCAAGATGGCGCTGTGAAAACAACCCAGGATTGAAGCTCTCGCTGGATGTGCGGAGAGGGTGAGTCGGGGGCGCATTTCCAGACGGATCTTAGTTGCCCACAGAACGGGGAAATTCCCAGGTATAAAAGAGACACGGGACACCAGGCAGAAGTTTTGGCTGGTGTAGCCGGCAGCCGGTGTGGCTGCGGCCCGCGCCGGAGCACAGAGGCACTCCACAGCGCTCCATACAAAAGCGCACTATTATGGGTGCCCTGTTCAACTGGCAAACTGAGACCTGAGAGGGCTGAACTTGAGACTGAACGGGACTTGGACAGTGAGCCAGCCCAGGAAATCCCAGGGACACAGCATTTGGGGTAGCGCAGTGTGACAAACAAAACGGGCATTCCAAACGCTCCTGGTGAGGAGGTTCCCTTAAAGCGCAGCTCCGTGGGGGAGGGGCGTCCGCCATTACTGAGGCAATCAGCCCCTACTGATGTACACGCCCATTGCTGACGCAGCCTGCCGTTGCCGAGGCAACCCGGTACAACAGAGAGACTCCGCCACAGGGCATAGCCCGTGGCAGCAGGGTGGAGACCGCAGCAGAAGGGTAGAGCCTGCAGCAACAGGGCGAACCTCACAACAGCAGGGTGGAGGCTTGGCAGGCAAATAGTGACTAGACTGCTTCCTAGCTGGGCAGGACAGCACAGTGGACACTCAAAAATAAAGCCCCAACCCCTTCAGAAAGAGCAGCTGGGAAAAAAAGGGTTTTTTAATGAGTTCTGTTGCAGCAGAATTAAACATAGCAGCCTAACAGCCCTGAATGAACAATAGAGCTCACAGCTCAGCAATTGAGCTCCTATAAAGTACAGACTGTCTCCTCAAGCAGCTCCCTGACCCCTCTATATCCAAAAGACTGACATTTGGCAGGCATCATTCTAGGACAAAGATAGCAGAAAAAGAAACTGGTAGCACCCCTCACTGTTCTGCAGCTGCTATAGGTGCACCCCAGACAAGCAGGGCCT